AAAAGAAAAAAAAAAAAAAAAAAAAAAAAAAAAAAAAAAAAAAAAAAAAAAAAAAAAAAAAAAAAAAAAAAAAAAAAAAAAAAAAAAAAGATGTTTGGCGTCCCACAGCAGAAGAGCCCTAGACAAAAGCCTGCTTTCTGAGTTGCCACTCCAATCCTCAATTTTCTCTTTTGTTTACAAAAGAAAAAAAAAGAAAAAAGAAAACACTTGGGCTGCCTTTTGCATTCAGAGTGTTGCCTTAGGGTCTACGAAGCAGAGCGTCTGAAATTTGTGGGGCTGGTGCCAGCCTGCACATGCCAGGCACCGCGTTTGCAGGGACTGCATGGGCCAGGCACTTGCTCCTGCCCTTGGATGGAGTCCTCCCCGAACCTGTGTGGGGCTGGTGCTGCAGTCCTCATGGTCCTTTCCACACAGCAGAGTCTGTGGCTGTCCTGCCCGTTGCCCAGGTTGGTAAGCAGGGACGGAGTCTCAGAACCCAGGTGCGGGTGTCTCTAGTCACTGGATGAAGGGGGGGCATCAGGGAGAAGTGAGGTTCAGAGCTGACCCATGTCAGGTCAGAGGTAACAATGTGTCATCTCTCTACTTCTATCTTTATATCTATCTTTATCATCGATCTGTGTGTCTGTGTGTCTGTCTACCTATCATCTGTCTGTTCACCCACCTACCTACCTACCTACCTACCTACCCACCTATGTGCCGTACTAGGGATTAAACTCAGGGCTTTTTTCATGCTAGGCAAGCACTCTACATTCAATCATACCTCTAGCCTACATCTTTCATAGGTCCTAAAAAATAAGGGTAAATCGCAGAGAGACCTTTGAAACACACCGATTCTGTTTGTATTTTATAAGGTCCTATTTCGTGGTGCCTTTTTGCAGAAGAACTACAAATTACGAAAATTTCTCAAATAAAAAGGCATTTTAAACTTTGAAAGACTGTATAGCGAGATCTTAGCTCAAATCTCAAAGTGAGATTTAGTAAACGCTTTATTTTTAACATTTGAACTTGCTGGAGGCAGGAGTGTGGCCTGTGAGGTGGACATGGCTGCAGAGAGCTCGAGGCTACCTGAGATGAGATGAGGGGCTTTGGAGAGGAGAGCCAAGGCTGGGGGCTCTGCTCCGAAATGAATTCCCAGTTCCTCCATTTCCGAAATGAAGTAGTTCTTGTTGATTTTGCTTTTTGTAGGAAGCACAGAAGTTGGCACACTGGTAAAGCCCACCTCACATTAAGACCACGGAGTCTCACCAGAGCAGACAGCCTGGGGCCTCCACCCCTGTTGTGTTCTCTGCTGTGCACATCAGCTCACACCTATTTCAAAGACGGGGTGCTCAGTATTACTACTTTCATTAAATGAAGAAAGTGATACTTGCTCACTGCTCAAACATGAAGAATTTGGGTAGAAAAAGAGCCAACTTTTAGTGCTCATTAAAATGTCTTTATTAGCCGGGCGGTGGTGGCCCACGTCTTTAATCCCAGCACTCGGGAGGCAAAGGCAGGTGGATCTCTGTGAATTCAAGGCCAGCCTGGTCTATGAAGCAAGTTTCAGGAGAGCCAGAGCAGTTACACAGAGAAACCCTTTCTCGAAAAAGAAAAGTCTTCATTAAAAATAACACAGATTAATTCTTTTTGTGTGTATGTGCATGCATGTGTGCATATGTCCAAGGAGGCTGGAAGAAGGTACCAGATCCCATGGAGCTGGGAGTTACAGGGTGTTGAAAGCCGCTTGATACGGGTGCTGGGAACTGAATTCAGGTCCTCTGGAAGATCAGCACATACTCTTAACTGCTGAGCCATCTGTCCAGTCCCTGAAGACATTTTTAGCATTTTGATCGCAGTGCCATTAGAGATTCAGTTGTGGTGGTTAGGATTTTATTGTAGTTTCAACTTTGACCTTTGGAGCAAAGAGATAATGATAACATTGACATTAGATGATCTACAGACAACCAGGCGGTGGTAGCACACACCCTAATTCCAGCACTTGGGAGGCAGAAGGAGGTGAAAAGGTGGCTCTCTGAGTTTAAGGCCAGCCTTAAACTATAGAGTACCTCTGGGACAGTCAGGGCTACACAGAGAAAAAACAAACAAACAAAGGACTAACCATGTCAGTATCTGAGAGTAAGAGTAAGAATGGGTGATATCTTAGTTAGAACCTCTAGACAAGAAGTAAGAATTAGACTTGTTCTTTTATAATGATAATTATAATGATAACCATCATCATCATCTTCAACAACATTGATGTTATATGCTTTATGCTTTGTTTTCATGCCGCCCTGACTGTGTCCACACTATGCACAGGCCTTGGGCAGCCACTCTGGGTTGGGTGTGGTCCTCTCATGGCACAGCAGGGCCCCCTATGTTGGTCATTTGTCCCTTAGCATCCTTTCAGCTCTGGAGAGTCATGTGCTGTTTGGGACAGCCCCTCAAATGGCTTCTGGACAGCCTCTATGAGTCCTTTTGAATTCACATGCTGTAGCCATTCCGAATCCACTCTCCCAGAGTCAGGGCTCCCTCTTTGTGGGATGCAGCTTTTCACACTAAGCAGAAGAGGGGAGGAAAGAGGACTGGGGCTGTCAATGGATGAAATATTGGCATATGGTTTTGGGAGGTGGTCGGGGCTTACAAGAGTTTCCCTTCCTCTCCCTGCCCTCTCCTTTGGTGACTTGCCTTTGTCAGAGCTCAGGAAATGGATAGGGCTTCCCCCAGTCAGCAGGACCCCTGGTCACTGAGAGCAATAAATGGAATTCTCCAGTTCACTGCTGGATGGAGCTTTGAGTTATTAATTTGGGACATAACTCACTTGGTAAAGTGCTCACCGTACTTGCAATACAGCCCTTGTTTGATTCCCCCTAGGTGTGGGGGCTCATCCCTGCAATTCTCACACCTGGGAGGCAGAGACATGAGGATCCCAGGTGCTCGCTGGTCAGGCAACCTAGCTGAACCAGTGAGCTCCCTGTTCTGTGGGAGACTCTGTTTCTCAAAACAGGAAGTGGAGCATGAAGTGAATGTCGCCTGTCTTGTCCCTGCACACACATGCGTGAACATTTGCATTCACATCTCTGCATACATCCTGATAGGTAAGACTTTGATGTCCCCGTTTAACAAGTACAACTGTGGATAAGCGTGTGTGTGTCCATCTTTGTATGTGAACGAAGTTGCTCTTGAATTCAAGATCTTCCTGACCCAGTCACCTGAGTGACTGTAACATACTGAGTGGTCTAGGTGTGCCCCACTGTACCCCACCTTAAGTACTGTGTATCTGGAGACCTGATTAGGGGAAAAGCAACAGCTCTACTGCATGCATTAAATACATTAATGGGGGCTGGAGAGATGGCTCAGCAGTTAAGACACTGGCAGGTCTTCCAGAGGTCCTGAATTCGATTCCCAGCAACCACATGGTGGCTCACAGCCATCTATAGTGGGATCTGATGCCCTCTTCTGGCATAAAGGTGTACATGTAGATAGAGCACTCACATACAATAAATACATAAATCTTTAAATG